ACACAATGTTAAATAATATTATACCACCTTACAAAGTTTGTCGACTCATTATTACTTTTTTAAACCAATTTTATTTTTGTTTCAGGTTCCAAACTGCTTAAGAGTTCTCAGTTATAAAGTCGTACAAGCTTTTAATTTTGCTGCAAATTTTTGTAAGTTTAACATGTAATATAAATTAGTGTAGTTAGAAATTAAGTATATTGTAATTATTAATGAGTTTAAATAAATTTTTTAGCTTGTGGTCTTCATGTTAATGTGGTGAGCCAAATATTGAGTAACACTACTTCAATTGTTCTCCTTTTTGATAAATTATTTGATTTGGTAAATGGGACAAGAAGCACAAAACACAAAAGCCACAAGAGGAAATATTTAAGAAAAGTCGCTTCATCAGTTGCATTGAATTGAAACAGAATTTGCCTTTGTGGCAAAGAATCATCAGTTACATCGATAAAAATTGCATTAAAATTATAAGAGATTTCAAAGTTTGTGGAAATTCAAGAAGGAGAGAATTTGCCTCCAATGACAAAAAAAGCACTTGTACTTGTAAATTTACACTGAAATATAAAAGTAAAAGACTTAATAAATATTTCTGTATTTTATTTCTTTATAAATGAATGAAAATTATTAATGGTTTAAATTTATATACATTTTCACACTGTGAGCACTTACATAAATTTAAACCAATAAAGATAAATTAGTTAGTAGTTATTAAGTACTAAGAGGATGTTATTTGTAATACGGGCTTTTACGCTGAAGCAAATACGTGCCTTTGCCTTAGAATAATTTAAAGAACTAAATGTCACTTTCAATTCTTGAGGCTCGCTATTGGCAATTTTTTTAGTACGGAAGACGATCGTCTGTGCGCTATAGTGCGCGCAAGACACTGACCTCTATATACTTATAGCTCTTTATATATATACAGAATGGACCAAATAGTGACGTCCAAACATGAAGTTTTACTCCATGCGTCCAAAAGAAAAATTTAATTTCCCCAGACCTAGGGGTATCCGAAAATACCCATGTATAATATCGAATTTTTTGTAGTTTTCGAGTTATAATTTGTTTTGTGTTTTCTGCTGGTGGGGCTTCAAAAATTCGTACCTTTTTTGTAGTAGTTATTTTTCAGATTTTTTTCATAATGATTTCTTATATTTACGCGAACACTACACATTGAATAAAACTATTTTTACGGATTTTATCGCGTTTAATTAACTTATTTTATATTCCCGACGTTTCGGTTGCTTTCCAGCAACCGTGGTCACGGGGGACTGAGGTGATTGACGTCCCGATGTCAAAGTTAACCCGGAGTACCTTCAGCTTTTTAATTATTAATTTTGGTCCGATCTACGCATAATGAACTAACTGTGTCTTGAAGTCTTACAGTGGTATGCTTGGGTTTAGTTTTAATTTTATGAATTACAGGATCCCAAGCAGGTGGTAGTACCCAGCCTCCCTCTCTATTGAAATTAGGATGTTTTTTAATTTCAATAGCCTCACGTATCATCCTTGGCAGGAATCGATGTTCTTTCGCGAGGACTTGTGGTTTATCAAATCTAATGTAATGACGGGGGCCGTCTAGGATATGATCACAAACTGCAGACTTCCTTGTGATCATATCCTTGTGATCATATCCTAGACGGCCCCCGTCATTACATTAGATTTGATAAACCACAAGTCCTCGCGAAAGAACATCGATTCCTGCCAAGGATGATACGTGAGGCTATTGAAATTAAAAAACATCCTAATTTCAATAGAGAGGGAGGCTGGGTACTACCACCTGCTTGGGATCTTGTAATTCATAAAATTAAAACTAAACCCAAGCATACCACTGTAAGACTTCAAGACACAGTTAGTTCATTATGCGTAGATCGGACCAAAATTAATAATTAAAAAGCTGAAGGTACTCCGGGTTAACTTTGACATCGGGACGTCAATCACCTCAGTCCCCCGTGACCACGGTTGCTGGAAAGCAACCGAAACGTCGGGAATATAAAATAAGTTAATTAAACGCGATAAAATCCGTAAAAATAGTTTTATTCAAAGATTTTTTTCATCTGACATGATTGTTTTAAATTATACTTTCACATATAAAATAATAAATTTCCTAAAATTCCTGCAAGTTATTCAAAAAATTATCGAAAGTAAGAATTTTGGTTTTTAGTGGGGTACGCTTAATTTAATATAAATTTTCAATTGAGCAACCTTATCCTCAACTCCCTTATCTCTTTCCCGAAGGTAGCGTGAAGGTCCTTCGTAAGAAGTATCTGCTCTTCCTTATTGCGTTTGAGCTGCTCTTCCAACCGACGGCTCTGTTCCTCCTGTTGGCGGGCCTGTTCCTCCTGTTGGCGGGCCTGTTCCTCCTGTTGGCGGGCCTGTTCCTGCAGCATCATCGTCAGAGCACCTAAGTCAGGTGCTGTAGATGCAGGAGCTGATGACAGACCGGCCTCCGTGGTCAGCAGCTGGCCCTCCGATGTTTGCGGCGTTGTATTACCAAATCGTCTCTGGTCTGTCTCCAGCTGGCGTTGACTTCGGGTACGGATACCCTTCATGTCGTCCTTTGGTAAAATCGGCATGATTTAATCCCACTTCTGACACCAATTGTTACGAGCTTGGGGTTCGAAATACCCCATGTATAATATCGAATTTTTTGTAGTTTTCGAGTTATAATTTGTTTTGTATTTTTTTAGTGTTTTCTGCTGGTGGGGCTTCAAAAATTCGTACCTTTTTTGTAGTAGTTATTTTTCAGATTTTTTTCATCTGACATGATTGTTTTAAATTATACTTTCACATATAAAATAATAAATTTCCTGAAATTCCTGCAAGTTACTCAAAAAAGTATCGAAAGTAAGAATTTTGGTTTTTAGTGGGGTACGCTTAATTTAATATAAATTTTCAACTTCAATTTAAAAATACTGTTACGAGCTTGGGGTTCGAGATAATTAAAAACTGCCGAGTGAATTACCAAAATTGACTATTTAATTACACAACACTAATTACAACTTAAAATCACACTAATAATAAAACACAGTTCGCCGTTATTTCGCTTCGAAGTATTCTCTTGTATCGCCAATTCAATACTGCCCGGTCGTGGTCTATACCGGCGTTATATAGGGCCTCAGATAGTTTCCAGAACCTTCTACTGTAGCGACATCTAGGATGTTCGAGTAATGTCGGTCCCGAAATTTCTGGAAGGATCTTGACTCTCCTAGTTCTGCTACTCGACATTAGAGGGCGCTAGTGTAACTAGTATTGTCATGTACAAGACATTATTAGTGGCGCGCAACACTGCCCTCTCCTAAGACATGCTCGTCCCGAGCACTATTGGCCCCATAATAACGCGCCAGTCGATCCACATGGACGATCATAGGAGTACCTCTGGCACCTTTCTGTATCCGGTAGGTTACGTCATTGATCCTTGTCACAATCCGGTACGGTCCATCCCATTTAGCTTGAAGCTTAGGAGATTTCCCTTTGCTGCGAGCTGGATTGTGTAACCACACTAGTGAACCTTCGTCAAACCCTTTGTTGTTCATTTTGCGGTTATACCGTGTTTTCATCTTATCAGACGTTTGCTGGCCCGTCTGTCTGACGTGCTCATAAATGTCATTCATTTTGTTCCGCAAGTCATTTGCATAATCGGTTATACTGCGTGGGGCATCAGGTGGTATTCCGGTGATCAGGTCTGCAGGCAGCCGTAATTCTCTCCCAAAGTTTGGTGTCACTGATGTACTTTCGTGAACAGCGCTTCGATATGACAACAAAAACGGTTGTATGTGTCCCAGTCTCGTTGCCGTTTTTCCACAACTTTTGCTAGGTACCTCTCCAATGTCTGATTAAATCGTTCTACCATTCCATCAGATTGTGGGTGGTAAGAAGTTGTTCGTGTTTTATGAGTACCCATAACTCGGCAAGTTTCCTGGAATATTTGAGACTCAAAATTCCTTCCTTGATCGCTGTGAATCTCTAAAGGTACTCCAAAACGACAGAAGACTTCATGAACTAGTTTATCTGCAACTGTTGAAGCTTCTTGATTTGGAATGGCGAAGACATCTGGCCACTTAGTGAAGTAATCCATCACAACCATGAAATACTTGTTACCACTTTCACTTTCCGGAAACGGCCCCGCAACGTCAATGGCTATCCTCTCCCATGGTGCACCAACATTGTACAATTTCAATGCGCCTCTACTACGAATTTGAGGATGTTCGATCAGAAAGTCGTATTCCTGCAGTAGTTCAATCCATCTCGCAACTTGTCCTTCCGGATTTTTGAACTGCAATAGCCATTCCAGTGCAGCATGGTCAGTTCGTAAGTGGAATTTCCGCCCCAGAAGATATTTGCTAAAATGCTGCAAGGACTTTACCACAGCAAGCTATTCCCGTCTTGTGACACAATAGTTCCTTTCCGGCTTTGACAACGACTTGCTGAAGTACGCTATCACAATCTCTTGATCACCATTCCGTTGAGACAACACACCGCCAAGTCCTATATCACTTGCGTCTGTGTCAACTATGAATTCCTTGCCCGCATCAGGGTACCCCAAAATAGGTGCTTTGCACAGACGGCTCTTGAGCTCCTGGAATGCAATATCGCAACTTTCATCCCAGCAGAAATGTCGCTTCTCCTCGGTAAGCCTGTGCAGAGGTTTAGCTATATCTGCAAAGTTCTTCACAAATCGCCGATAATAAGAGCACAAACCCAAAAATGCTCTAACCTGTGTCTTGTCTTTTGGAACCGGCCAATCCTTGACAGCGGCAATTTTCTTTGAATCCGTGCGGATACCTTCTTCCGACACTACATACCCCAAAAAGCTAACTTGCTGTTTGAATAGTGAGCACTTCTTCGGACTCAACTTGAGGTTGGCACTCTGGATCTTCATGAGCACGCGTTTCAGGTTTTGAAGGTGTTCCTCAAACGTACGGCCTACGATAATGATGTCATCCAAATAGACCAGACAGGCATCTCCAATTAGTCCGGTAAGTACAAGCTCCATCAACCTTTCAAACGTTGCTGGAGCATTGCACATTGACTTCAAATTGCCACAGACCCTTTCCTGTGGAGAATGCAGTTTTCTCCTTGTAGCCACTTTTCAGGTCCAGCGTACTAAACCACTTTACGCCTGTAAGCATGCCCAGCGTATCATCAATTCTTGGCAAGGGATAGCTGTCCTTCTTCGTAACGTCGTTTAGACGGCGGTAGTCAACACAAAACCGCATGCTGCCGTCCTTCTTCTTTACCAGTACCACAGGTGAACACCATGGACTAGATGAAGGTTCAATAACACCATCCTTCACCATTCCCTCAATCATGGTTTCCACTTCCTTTTCACGTGCTACAGGTAATCTTCTTGGCCGCTGACGAATAGGCAATTCTTGTCCTGTGTTTATTTTGTGTTGAACTAAGCCAGTCTTTCCTATGTCAGCTTCGTTTGACGAGAAAACATTGGCGTACTGGAGTAACAACTTCTTCGCCTTGACCATTTCATTCGGGGAGAGAACGCTGCGACAGTCTTCTAAAAGTGTGGTCAGTCTCGTTTGTTCATCCTTGCTGGGGGTCCCAGTCGATAGATATTGGCACTGACGCAACCAATCCACTTCCTCACTAGTACCAACCAATGTGCCTTTTTCTATAATCTGTTCCTGATCACAAGGGTTCAACACACGTACTCCTGAGATGTCGGTGGTTCTGACCGAGGTTCAAGCCACTCTCCATGGAAGGTCATTGTCTACCCTTTCCACGAGTACACAACGATGAGCTTGCCCAGGATTCCGAGGAAGACTAACCGGCACAATCGTATCCGATCTCGGCGGAAGAACAATCTTCTTAAGGCTGTACACATTCCCTGGTAACGCACCTTCCATAAAAAGTTCCTCTTGTCCACATTTTAAAACACCTTGCTTTACGTCGATCTCACAACAATTATTCCTCATAAAGTCTAGGCCCAGGATGCAGTCGTCCATTATATCAGCCACGATGACATTATGCAGGTAGATCATGTTGCCTAGCTTCAACTCCATCTCCTTCTCTCCACGGACGGGTATGCGCTGACCAGTGGCTGTCACCAAATTAATGCGTTCGCGGTTGTATGCGGAGTCCCCAAGGAACTGACTTATAAGTTGGGAACTGACAACCGTGCGAGAGGCTCCAGTGTCTATGTTCAGTTTATACGGCGTTCCGTTGACTTCGCCCTTGATGATTAGGCTGTTCCCATCATGGGTTTGTGAGATCGAAATCCTTGGGGTTATCTTTTAACATCAGCCAGCACCCGCCCCGCAGTCCTGGCTTTTACTCGTTTCCCTGCTGCTGCTGGGCGGTGCTATATAGCCGCACTACCCTCTCGAGATCGATCACCTTCTTTTTCTACAGTTCGCTTAGCGCAGCTGGATCGAAGATGGCCCCTTTCCCCACAGCCGTAGCACCTAGGGCTGTAGCCGTTGCGGTCCCGAACTGTAGCTGCTGCAACCTCCCTAATGCGATGGGAACAATGATCCTGCCGCACGGTTTCCACCTCCAGTGCATGGGTCAAGGCGTCCTTAAGAGTCTCGTGGTGCCCGAGCCTCACAGCAGCTCTGACAAGGTCGCGGATGCCGTCGATGAATGTCTGCACTAGGTTCCCTACAATGAGCGCAGGTACAGACTTTATGTATGCTTTTCGAACCAGCTTCTCTACCTCAAGGGCCCATTGCTGCAGGTTTACGTTACTGCGTTGCACGCGATCTTTGAGCTGCGCACGAAAGACGTGTTACAGGTGAGCATCGCCATATCTCGCCTCCAATGCCTCAAGGAGCTGCTCGTAAGTCACTTCATTACCGAGAGCTTCCAGAACAGTTAAGGCCTGGTCGCGCAGGCCTAGGGTGAGAGCAGTCATGGCCTGACTTTTATTCCAGCCGTTCGCCTTCATGACAGCCTCGAATTGGATTTTGTAGGCCTACCAGGAAGAAGTCCCGTCGAACGGCGGCACTTTGAATCCACGTAGCGAAGGTGTTGTAGCTTCCACGGGAGCTGTAGCTCCATCTCCAAGTTTGAGGTCGTCCAGCGTTTTCTTCACGTCAGCCATCACGTTGTCAACCCGATTGTACACATGGTCGATTCGATTTTCAGCTTCCGACAGGCGGTTGTCATATTGAGCAACCTTATCCTCACCTCCCTTATCTCTTTCCCGAAGGTAGCGTGAAGGTCCTTCGTAAGAAGTATCTGCTCTTCCTTATTGCGTTTGAGCTGCTCTTCCAACCGACGGCTCTGTTCCTCCTGTTGGCGGGCCTGTTCCTCCTGTTGGCGGGCCTGTTCCTCCTGTTGGCGGGCCTGTTTTTTTTAGTGTTTTCTGCTGGTAGGGCTTCAAAAATTCGTACCTTTTTTGTAGTAGTTATTTTTCAGATTTTTTTCATCTGACATGATTGTTTTAAATTATACTTTCACATATAAAATAATAAATTTCCTAAAATTCCTGCAAGTTACTTAAAATAGTATCGAAAGTAAGAATTTTGGTTTTTAGTGGGGTACGCTTAATTTAATATAAATTTTCAATTTCAATTTAAAAATACTGTTACGAGCTTGGGGTTCGAGATAATTAGAAACTGCCGGGTGAATTACCAAAATTGACTATTTAATTACACAACACTAATTACAACTTAAAATCACACTAATAATAAAACACAGTTCGCCGTTATTTCGCTTCGAAGTATTCTCTTGTATCGCCAATTCAATACTGCCCGGTCGTGGTCTATACCGGCGTTATATAGGACCTCAGATAGTTTCCAGAACCTTCTACTGTAGCGACATCTAGAATGTTCGAGTATTGTCGGTCCCGAAATTTCTGGAAGGATCTTGACTCTCCTAGTTCTGCTACTCGATACTAGAGGGCGCTAGTGTAACTAGTGTTGCCATGTACAAGACATTAATAGTGGCGCGCAACAATACAAAAATGAGTTTCCATAGGATCTAACTGAATTTAAAAACTTTACAAGTCCCTGAGCGATTGAAAACATAAAAAAAATGGTACATAATGGGGTATTATTTGCTGTAATCGGCCTTCAAAGGTGGATAGGCTAAAAATACACAAAAAAATTTAGTTTTGAAAAATTATTTTGCCTACTTTTGTCATTCTTATGTAAATTTATGTCACAAAATGTAAAAAATAAAGGAAGACCTACAGGTCAGTGGCGGAAGATAACTCTGCGCGCGAGTGATGGCGTACTTAATGTTGCCAGCTTAACTAATATTTTTTTTCCTTCATTTCATCTTATTACTTGAATTATATAATTATATCTTACATCTTATTACTACGTGGTAGAGCCATGCTGCAGCTATATTATGGTTGTAGCACGAATGGGTCGGCTCGACCGGGGAAGGACCACGCTCTCACAGAAAACCAGCGTAAAATAGCAGCTTAATGCTGCTGTGTTTCGTATGGTGAGTGTAGAAAACCGGAGACCCTTTTTACTGGCAAAGAGGCATTCCATCTTAGTCTTCACGGGTGACAACGCATCTGCATCTTGAGTCTTTATTGAGATAGATATAGATGTCTATGGGTCACAGTAACCACTTACCATCAGGTGGACTGTGCGCTCGTTTGTCACCCGATCCTATAAAAAAAAATCAAATTACGTAAACGACTGAATTGACTACCAAAGCTCAGTTAAAAAAAAAAGTGTAATGTTCAACTTAAACTTACAAAGACCCAATTATATTTAAACCCTATATTGTTTAAGAAATCTAAAATAATAAATGTTTAAGAAATATATAATAAATATATTTCTTGATTCTAATTTTCGTAACTTTAACACTTCACTTCACAAGTTTCTATGGTAAGAGTTACGTTAATTTAAGTTAGTTAAATTATTGCTTAAAAACCATTTGAAAACGTTTAATTTATGCGAGCGAGTTTGAGACAAAAATAAAAAAAACACGCTTCACTTTTATTTTTGGTATTCTTCTCAGCAAACCCTTTTATTTGATACCCATATCATGGGAATGCATAAAAAAAACTAGTCCTCCATCTTTGGATTAAGAATGACGTCACTTGTCTATCCATTCATTGTCTTCTAAATTAAACGTAGGTATATATGCAAAATTTCAGCTTCATCGGAAACCGAGAAGTTGGTCAAATTTAACTTCCAATTTTTTTTACATAATTACAGATATATATTATATGCTTGTAGTAAATAACTATTACTAAGATAAACGAACACTGATATTCTGTCTATAATGAATTTTGCAAAAAGGTATTTTGAAACAGAATTGAAATAGCATTATAATATTTATTGTAAAGAATGAAATAAAAAGTCCATGGAAACCTTGTAAATCTTTTATTGAATACCTAGTATTATTTGTAAATTTTGTGTAACAATGGTTCCGCAGTGGGTCAATGCCTTCTATTCTGTATAGATTCTATTCTGTAGAGATATAGATCTAGATGTATCATTAATTACAAATTACAAATATATAGCCTGTAACATTAATTACAAATTTATTCATTCCATATCCATCAGCCTATCTGATTCGAAATATCTATCTTCTATTTTTTCTACACGTAGACATACATTGAGCCATTCTTCTATCGATACTGTTCTTAACGCCGCCTCAGTAATAGAAGTTATTATCGCTAGGAGCTTGAGTGATATTCTTCTCTGCAATGCGCCTCTTTACAATTGCCACAATTTTTTCGATGGTATTTTAATCGCAGTGGTAAGGCGGCAAACGGAGAACCTCATGTCCATGTTCATTTAACATTTGTTCTATTTCATATTGTGGGTCTCCTTTGTGTTTTTTGATTAATTCTTATAATTGCGCTTTTGTCCAACAATCGTCAAATTTAATACAATTTCTCCTAAGCCACTCTTGGTGCTCTGCTTTTGTATTGCCAATTGTAGGTGCCTTGTTAATCCGTGTGCAGTAGTATGATGCATTATCCATTACTACAATGCAATTTGTTGGTAGTTTCGGCACAATTTTTTCTTACATCCACTGTATAGGAAGTTAGCGGAATTCATATCGTCGTGATAGTCATTCGATTTGGATTTAGACCTGAACAGTAGCAGTCCGTTTTCAACAATCCCAGTTTTACCTCCATCATGAGTTAGTATCCATCTTGCACCGAAGCTATCAGAATCATGAATACCAGTCTGTTCCTTCGATTGCCAACATTTTGAATATGGTATGAAGCATGTATATACAGGATGGGCCTTAACTGTATGAGTGGTTTCGATATGCAATAAAAAATAACTATAAATCTTATTGTTTTTTATTTATACATTTAAAAAGTACAAGAAATTGAAATTTAAGTGACATCTAATTTTTAAAGATAATGTTATTTAAGTGACCGCCACCAGCTTTTTGACTATAGAAGTGTGGCAAGTGGCTCCATCCTGTTGATACTACGTCCTAGAATGGTAACCTTGAAATTCTTGAAAAACTGGAATCAAAAACTCTTGCAACATCTGACAATAATTCTCAGATCTTACTGTCACAGCAACTCCTCTTT